GGCACCAGGTGGGTTTTGACTGAGAAGCGTGCGGATACCTTCAAGGCGAGGCTGGCGGTGCAGGGCGTCAGGAGAGCGACTTGGGCATCGGTGCTGACGCTCCGACTGGGGGCCGCAACGCGCAGTGGCTTACGGCGGGGTTTGCAGCCCAACATGGTTGGGATGACGCCTTCTTCGATGCCAGCAGTGCCTACCTGCGGGCAGAGGTCATCGACCTTTGTTCCTGGGCAGATCTCCGTCGCGGCGGGCATCATCTACTGTGCGAAGGACGCTGGCAGAGCCTGGTATATGCATTGGAAATCAGGTCTCAGTCAGTACCAGATCCATGAAGGCAAGCTGGAGCGAGGTCGGTACTACTTGGCTCACCAGGGGAGATCTTGCTGGTCATCCACTCCCACGTGGACGGCATGCTTTTCGCTTGGGCGCAGTCCATTTCCTACGACCGCAAGATCATGCCCGAGCTCAAGAGGCGCCTGCGCCTTGCCAAGAAGGTCGGTGACGTCGACTACCTGGGCACGAGGGTGCAGATGACGCCTGGTTCATCAACGTGACCCAGGAGAAGGCAATCAAAGCGATCGAGTATATCCCCATCCCCGCGAACCGCATGAATATTGCCGAGTCGGATGCGACACTCGAGGAGTACAGTTGCTTCAGGACGACCAACGGACAGTTGCAGTGGTTTGCTACGAGGTCTCGGTCAGATGCGGCATGTAAGCAGAATTTGGCGGCCCAGCGTATCAGCAAGCTCAGGGCCCAGGGCCTCGTCAACCTCAACCAGATGGTCACCGAGCTCAAGCAGAGCCCGACTCTGGGAGTTCGGTTCGTCCGCGGTCGAGCTCGTGTTTTGTTGGCGCGGCTTGTATTCCACGGGAACTCCGCCTTCGCCGACGCCGAGGGCGAGCGGTCGCAGCGCGGGCTCGTCGGGGGCTTGACTCACGAGCCTGAGGAGGTCGCCCAAGGGAGATCCAGCGAGCTGATCCCGCTCACTTGATATCCAGGGCGTGTCCGGAGGGTGGTGCGAAGCACCCTCAGCGCAGAGGCCTATGCTATCAGCGAGGCCCCCGCGCACGCAGAGTGGCATCGCCAGGTGCTGACTGGGCTGAAGATGGCGGCGAAGTTTGGAGGCCCACCAGGGTTGAAGGACTTGGAGCGGCAAGCGGGTAGCATCAAGATGACGACAGTCACGGACAGCCAGAACCTAGAGAGACGGCGGAAAAGGACGCCGGAGTCCTGCAGGGCAAATGTTTGAGGTTTGTGGTCGGCATGCGGGGGGGGGGGGGCCTTCGCACTGGCGGTTTCGATGATGCGGCGGTTTTCGACGCGTGCGATGGTCGCGGACGCCATCGTCAAGGAGATGCACGCGGGTGCGTTTATGGCATTCATGTCCGGTCGCGACGCACGGATTTCGGCCCTAGTTCTCAAGGCGAAGAAGCTTGTTCAGGCATTGACGCTGGCGACGACGGCCATGCCAGGGGCCAGCTTTGACCTCTGGCCGATCGAGAGGAACAGCAGCGGTCGGCCCTGCCAGGGCCTGACCATCATGCACTCGTGCAGTCGTGAAGGATATGCTGTGGATTGTATGTGCTATTTGCAGGGTGTGGATTCTGGAATGTTGTTGGCTCTCTTTGGGCTGCTGGTTCATGATGTTGTTCAGAAGGTAACGTCCGCGCAGTCTGGGTCGCAGGAGACGCGCCAGCAGATGGAGATGACGATCAGGCCGACCACGCAGCACAACACGCAGCAGGTCGACCAGCATATGGAGATCAGGACCAAGCCCAAGCACAAGAGGCACATGGGTCACGGCAGGGTCCAGGTCGGGGACGTGATGACGATGAGCCAGACGACGTATGTACGAGGTTTTTCTTCAGGCCCGAGGCGTCACAATCCCGTTCACAATTTCGAGGGTGACTCGTTTTGTGGGCAGCCCTACAATCGCGTGAGTACTCCGTGACTGTGCGGTGCTCCACCGACTGCGGCTACAGTTGTGTGAGCACTCATTGTGCGGTGCTCCGCTGACGAAGTCTACGGTTGTGTGAACATTCAGTTTGCTGTGCTCCACCGACCACGGGCACCCCTGTCAGCTTTATTGTTTCGCTTTCGAGCCCGGGGTGTGCTCTGATTTCCGTATGAGGCCCGCTTTTTTAGGCCGCGAGCCCCGTTGGGCTGTTACATGATGGATGCCACACTGGGCAGCGTGCAAAACCATCCCTACCTCCTTCTCGTCGTTTCTCCTGAAATTCACGACTGGGTTCTACGCTAGCGAGTTTGTTTGTGTGTATTGCCTTGACCTGTGAGCAAATTCAGCAAGCCAGCCAGCCTGCGGGAGCCTTGGGCCCGAGTTTGTAGCAGACGAGCCGTCAGCGACCGGCCGATGTGTCCGATGATTCAGGGTGCGTCTAGATCAAGAAAATGCACGACGTAAATTTCGGGGGAGTGGGGGTGATCGATGATGTATGCATCACGTTTTGTAGCAAACGCGTTTCTGCTACCGTTTGGGCTCAGGCGTTTTGACTAGTTTTTGTTACGTAGCAAAAGAAACTTGCCCTTTATCCAGATATCAGCGATATCTCTACGACGCCGTGGTGTCCCGTTGGGTGAGATCGACAGCGGGATCGGTAATGATATCAATAGTGATATATATATATATATATATATATATATATATATATGGACGTGGTGTCCCGGGGTGTCCCGTGGTCCAGATATGGATAGAGACAGAGAGAGAGAGAGAGTAGAGGAGAAAGTGGAGGAGGAGGTGGAGGAAGAGGAGGACGAACAAGAGGAGGACGAGCAGGAGGAGCAGGAGGAGCAGGAGGAGGACGAGGACGAGGAGCAGGAGGAGAAGGACGAGGACGACGAGGAAGACGAGGAGACGGAAAAGGAGGAAGGGCGAGCAGGGGACGAGGAGGAGGAGGAGGAAGAGGAAAAAGAGGAGGAACAGGAGGCCTTGGAAGCTGTCTGGGCCACCTTTAGGGCCTTCTAGGAGCTTCCTGCGGGCCTCTCGGAGGCTCTCGAAAGCCTCTTTGGGCCTCTCGGGGGCCTTTTGGATATCCTGCGGGGCCTCCTGACGTGTTAGGGCGTTTCTGGTCCGTCTGGCGCCGTAGGAAACCGTTTTCGATGCCTCTTTTATCCGACTTGTGGCCGCCGTGTTGGAGGCTTTTTGGGGCGTCGTGGGGTCATCTTCGCGGCCTTTGGAACCATCTTGGGGCGATCTTGGGTGCCGCTTGGGCCGTCTTGTGCCGAGAAGAACAAAGAGCAGCATCTTTCAAATACCGTCAGGACATCAATCATGTTGGCCTCTTCCAGCCCTTCTGGAGGACCTCTTGGAAGCCTCTTGGGCCGTCTTGGAGGTCTCTTGGGGGCGTCAGGTGTCGTCTTGGGCCGTCTTGGAGGCTTCTTGGGCGGATTTGAAGGCATCTTGGAACCATGTGCCATGGTGACCTTGGCGGCCATCTCGGCCGTTTTGGTGGGCTGCGCAATGGACCGAAGCTCCAGGGGGAGTTCCAAAATAACCAATGAACAATTACGCAGAGCAGCCCTGTGGCAAGACCACAGGGGCGGCGGATTTATGGGCCTTCGGTCCATCCCCACCGTGCTTGGGTTGTATGTCAGAGGCTTCTCGGGGCCCTCTTGGGTCAGATTGCGGCGCTCGTGGCTCCGAACAGGTCGTGCAAGAAGCGTCGGGTAACCGCGGGAGGCACGCCCTGAACGTTGGAAAAATTTGGAGTTTGGGGTCCTGGCCCCTGCATGCCCAATTCTGAGGACCGAGGACAGGACTCCAAGGGACGTGATGGCATTCCAAATCGTGCCTCGCGGCACGATTGCGGATTCGCTGGTATCCTGAGACCCGATCCTCGCAGAGTCCCGACAGGGTTTCTCTCCGCCGTTCTCTGGCAGCCGCCCACTCGAGGGGGATGGTGAGGACTCTCAATCGAGGGCTTCGAACGGCCTGGAGGACTTTCGAACGGAGGGCTTTCGAACGGTCCAAAGGAGGTCCAAACGACGCCCCGGAGGGCCTCTAGAGAGCCGAGCGTCCCAAGGGGGCCCCAAGCCCCAAGAGCGTTCCTGGAGGCACCCAGACAGCTTGGGAGAGCCCCAAGACGGACCGAGAGGGTTCCAAGAGATTCTCGGGGAGCGCCCCAGACGGCCCCAAAACGCCTTGAGAAAGCCCCAGACGGCCCCAGATGGCGCCACGACGGCTCAAGAACGTTCCCAAAGAACCCCACGACGTGCCCAGGCAGCCCAAGAAAACCCCAGAAGCCCACAAGAGGACCCAAGAGGCCCCCACGAATCCCCCAACAGGCCCCAGGACAACCCCGCGCGGCGCCAAGAGCCCCCAGGGTAGCCCGATAGGATCACCAGGATCCACTCTTGATCCAATGTCCTTCCCCAGTTGCCTCTTACTATCCTCCGTCGTCGTCGTCGTCGTCGTCATCATAGTCCTCCGCATTCCTCCTCGCACTCGCGCTCGTTCTCTTTGTCCTCGCTCTTGTGCTTCTCATCATCCTCGTTGTCCCCATGCTCATCCTCGCTACCCTCACGTTCTCAACGTCGTCCTCGTCATCGCCTCCTCGTCGCCCTCGCCTTCCTTTCCTTCTTCTTCGCCCAAGAAGCACATTGGACTAAAGCGACGCATTCCGTTCTTGTCCGACCAGGTTCATTGGTTCCCTGAGACCCGATCCTCGCAGAGTCCCGACAGGGTTTTTCCCCGCCGTCCTCTGGCAACCGCCCACTCGAGGAGGATAGAGGAAGATGCAGTTGGACCAGGGAGGATGAGGAGGAGCCGTTTTGATGTTGATTCGTTGGCTTCCCCAGGTCCGACCCTGGCAGAGTAGCGGAGGACAGAGGAGGATCCACTTGGATCGGGGAGGAGGAGGCGCCGAGCCGATTTTGATCCATTGGCTTCCCGAGGCCCGATCCTCGCAGAGCCCCGACCGCGCACCTCCCCGCCGTCCCGCGGCGGCCGCCCGCCCCGGTGGCGCCGCTGCCGCCCCCCCGAGGCCACAGCTCCGCCTCGCCCTCGCCCTCGCCCTCGCCGCCCGGCAGCCCGCAGGCGCCGCACGGGCTCCCCGACCTGGGGGGGGTGCGGCCTGGGAGGAGGCGAGGGACGAGAAGAAAGCGACGAGAAGAAAGAGACGAGGGACGACAAGAAAGAGGCGAGAAGAAAGAGGCCTGGGAAGAGGCGAGGCTCTTGGCGGCGTTCTCGCCTCGGGACGCTCTCCAGCAGCTGCGGCTCATTCGAGGGCCTCTTCAGGGGTGCCCAAGGCGGCTCCGCGCGGCCGCTGGAGGCCCGAGGTCCGGCCGGAGAGCGAGGAGGAGAGAGCAACGGAGCAAGACACGGCAAGACCCTGAGATTTTGGTATTGCCCAGAAGCGAAAGAAGGACGTACATGTACATGAATCCACGCTGGTTTCGAAAGCACGTATTGCACAAATGTTCGTATCGCGCGGCCGGTCTCGCGAATCGAGGGGCCGTGTTCACGTACACAGCGGGGCGCTTACGTCCTTTGTGGGCTCCCTGATTGCACTTTGTCCACAACGGGCGAGCATGTCTGGTCTCGGGCCACTGGGCCCTCTCGGAGCGATCTGGATCGAAGAGTGGCGCAGAGGCTGGGGTCTCGAGTTTCGCTTGCGTTTCTTCTGCGAAGCCGTCTTTCTTGACCAGCTTGTGTTGGATGGTCGTTTTGCACACACAGCGCTCCGCGTCACTCACTCCTTCCTCCCTCTCTCTTCCCTCCTCGCATCCCCGCATATGCCCTGCAAATGCCCCTGCGGGCGCGCCTCTCTCACGTTTCGTGGCCCCACAGGGGGAGCTCCACCGAAGGCTCCAACGGCAGGGTCCGCATAGCGTACCCGCACCCGACTCGGCACACCACTCATGCGCTTCGTGACCCCAGAAGGAGCTTCACTGGGGGCCCGGACGGCAGGGTCTGCATTGCTTACCTGCACCCGACTCGGCACACCCCTCATGCGTTTCGTGGCCCCATAAGGAGCTTCGTTGGAGTTGGGGGCCCGATCGGCGGCAGGTGACACCTCGACGCGAGGATGGCACGCTGCGCGTCGCAACGACGCAGCAGGACGCCATCAGCGTCGCGGCACAGTATGTTATGGAGTACATGTGCCATCACCCGGGAACGGGAACGGCTGACAGGCAGCGCCTGTCGCGCCTGACGGGAGAGCAGGAACACGTGGTTCCTACAGCGGTGAAAGAGGCACTTGAGCAGAGTTGGAGGACTCCCGTCGAAGAACTCAACCTGGACCTTCGAGTCATGCGTGTATGTGTGACTGTCCGCGAGATCATCAATTGTTTTCTCGCCGAAGGATATTGCATCGCCTATCCCACGCCTGACATCTAGTCTCGAGAGCCCTGCATCACAGTCAACGTCGAACAGCGCCGCATCGATGCATATGCGCTGGACAGCCGTATCCGTTCGGCTGTCAACACAGAAGACCTCGTTGAAGAGTGGTCCCGCGACCTTTGCACTGAGCGTCGTGCCGAGCTCCGTCGCCACGGCGGAGCATTGCAAGAAACCGTCGTTTTCCTGTGCCCACTCTTGGAGTCAAACCCCGAACAAGACTGACCAAGGCCCCCTTCGCACTGCCAGTGGGCGCCACGGTCCCTACGTGACGACTGCCGCGATGGGTATCGTGAGGCATGCAAAGTTACAGCGCGAGACACGTCTTCGTGAGGAGAGAACCGCAGACGACCCCTCCGACGGCCCAGCCGTTCAGGGGGTGGCTTCCGCAGCGCCAGCAGGGCCAAGCCCTGCTGGCCGCCTGGCTCCACCTTTCCCGCCAAGACCGCCCAACGTCCAAGACGTCCGGGTCGGTGATGATGTCACAGAATCTCCACGCTCCGCCGGCGGTCAAACCGCATCGGCGGGTGACGAACTCTCGAGGCGTTCCCCAGACGGGAACGCGCGGGATCAGCCAATGACCGCGCGCGGGCGCGGCGGAGCCATGGCTGCCGGCAAAGGCGATGGCGCCTGGGACCCCATGCGGCACTACCCAGAGACCTCCGAGCACGGTGAGGCGGTGGGTTTCTGGGCGCACCGTGACCAGGTGTATCGGCAGGCACGCAAGGACCGTGAGTGGCATTTCGTGTCTCAGTATGAATACAATCGCTGGTTCCCGAGAGACCAGGGCAAGGGATACAGCAAGAACAAGGACAAGTCCAAACATGTGCGGCCAGCTCCATATGCTGGCCCTGGAAAAGGAGGCAAGTCTTTTGCGCCTCACATGCCAGCTTGGCAGAAGGGAGGTTCCTCGTCTTCGACTCCGAGGCCTCCAGCGCCACCATCACGTTCGCAGTCCTCCTGGCACAAGTAGTAGGACGAGTCGCGCGACCCAGTCGTTGCGACCTGAGAGGCCCGGCTTAGGCGGATGTGGGGTTCGTCGGCGAACTTCAGCCCATCGTCCCAAGCCGGCCTGGAGTTTTTGGGCTCCTCCAGGTTGTATATCTGTACAGAGACTGGTGGATCTAGGCTGACGGGCTTACGGACCCCGCCGCGGGGGAGTTAATACGCTCCTCTCCGCCTCATATTCTAGTTGCCTCTCCTGCCGCCTGCCTTGCATCACATTGACACTAATACTTTGCTTCACTGCAGCTGTTTGCTTATCCAGCGTGAAAAGGAGCGCGCTGCCGCGCGCTCGCGTCCGGGCGTCGGCCGGCCGGCATCCTCCGTTTCTTTGTTTGGTAACATTTGCTATACGGATTATCCATTGTCTCATTCATGCCTCGTCCCAAACCCTTTACCACAGAGCGCATTGATCACGAGACACTAGTTCCTTTGACATATTACCCCGATTCTCAGAGGAAAGACTTATGGACCATCCATTGTTGATGAAAGCGTTCCAACAACCATGACAGCACACGGGCGATGCAGGACGAAAGTTGCATTGTACACGTGTTGTTCAGCACCCGACAGATGAAGGTCAATAGTTCGGCAGTTTCAGTCAACCACCCAGTGCGTGGAGGTTGTTAGTTGAGATGGCCTGCCCATGTTGAGTCGTCGGTGGGGTCGCAACAAAAAAACAGTCAGCATTCCAAGTCATCGCAAGCTGCCGCGGGGAGCAAAGTGCCGCTCCCAGGAGAAGGATGAACAATAGAAGGAATGGGAGGAGAAATGGGGAGGTATCGCAGCCTATGCGGGCGGCCTTGTGAAGTTCAGGTGCCGTATGTGGGCCGTCTCTGGAACAACGGGGCTTTCCGTGGAACCTCCCTTTGGCTCTCGGAGCTGTCCTGGGGTCCTGTCGAGGTGTCCGTGCGAACCCACGCGAACCCCGATTATTTTTTTTTCCTGGAGCCCACTTGGGATGGCTTCCTGGGTGAGTGTCGGGGCTGGGTTTCGTCTCCAACTCGCACCCGCCAGCGCTCTTCCATCACTGCCGACTCGGGGCAGCCGTTGTTGTGTGTCTAATTTCTGCTTCAATGTTGCGCTGCGGCCGGCGGGCTGATACTAATTTCTGTGAGTTCCATATCCGTTTCTTCTTGACATGACAGGTGCCGGCGCAACCACCGTTGCTGATTTAGCGTTTGCTCGAATACGCCGCTGCGGCCGACGGAATGTGACTATGCTGAGGCTTTCTTGTCATGCTTTTCCGTTGTATGGCAGTGCCCAGTTGTTTCACGTGTCCCGTCGGTGCACTTGCGACAGCCCCCAATTGTGAACACAACTATGGGCAGCACCGCTGGTTGATCGTAGTCGTCGTCGTCATTGCAGTCGTCGTCCTCGCAGCTGTCATGGATCTCGCCATGGCCGTCGTTTTCGTCTTCGTCAAAGACGTCTCCGTCGTCCTTGTTGTTATCGTCGTCCTCGTTGTCATCGCCCTCGCCGCAACCAGGCGCACGCCGCGCCGACACAGGCGACGCCGCCACGGGGGACGTCGTCGCCGCCCCCTTCGGTCGTCGCCGCCGCCATCGTCGTTTTCGCCGCTGCCGTTGTCGCCGTCGTCGTCGCCGCCGTCGCCGTCTTCGTTGATGGTCGGCGATTGCAGCCGACGTTCCCGCACTCGCCGACGTCGCCTCCGCGGTTTTTTCGTCGTCGCCGTCGTCGAGGTCGTCGTCTGTTAGGGGAGGGGCGTCGGAGGCTCAAGGGATCAGGAAGTACTCTGCTCCGGGGTCCCTCATTCGGCTCCCCGCAAACCGTCAATCAGGGGCAGTGCAAGGAGGAAACAGGCTGTGGGTGGGACGTATCGACTCCCAATCACCAACTGACCGCCGAGAAGCACCTGAAAGTTCACTCCCTCAATGAACGTACGGAATCGCCATCGGGGGCTTATGCCGATCTTCCGGCGAAATATCACCGATTCCAGGCCGATGTTCCCCCAGCTGACGCAGTCACCTTAACCACGACGGGTTGTTCGCCCCCCGCCCCCCGCAATAGGGGGTAACTATTTTGTTGTCGGCGGCCTTATTGAAGGACTGGACCCTCCCCAAGTGGGGGCAATTCGATGTCTTTTCCCGCGGCACGCGCCGCGCAACAACGACGACGACAGGTACGACTACGATTGTCATTACGACTACGGCGACTGCCGCTAGCCATTCCTCAGGAGCGCTCTGACAGGCAATCCTACCTCAGAAACTCGATTCTGAGAAACTCTATCCTCAGAAGCTCCATCCTCAGAAGGATTGTTGAAGCTCACACCCCACGAGGGCCCTCAGAAATGCCATCCTCAGAAGCTCCATCCTCAGAAAGTGAGCAACGCCTTCGGCGAAGAGGCCAGTGCCGACCTGTAGTGCAATGCTCTGTCAATCGTGCTCAACATCCCTATGTCGAGCAGGGTAGCCCAGGGGCATCATTCCCTGTGGGAAAAAAACACCCAAGATTGTAGGACAAGCATAATTCCCGCCGCGACGACGACGACGGTTACTACTATGGCTGTAATTGTGATTATGATTGCGATTCGGATTACGACTACAACCACCACGACGATTGCGACTACACTTGCGATTCCAATCGCGACTATTGCCAGTGCTAAAATCATGGCTACAATCAGAGAAACTGCTTCCTATTGCAACCGTCCTGAGGAGATGTTCGCACAGCATCTTGCGTGTAGGGCGGC